GGAACTCCACAAACAATCCCTTTCCACTCTGTTCTGTCCTCCGTAGCTATCCCCAGATCCCCAATGTCTAACCCTGAGTTCCGAGCTAATTTTTGTGAGAAGATACTTCTAGAGAAAGATGCCATAAGATTAAAGATGAGACGATTTCCCTGTCCGTTCGGTGGCAGTGGCCGGCAAACTGTAATCTTTTTTGTTTGAGCTTAAGAGAAGTTAGTCTCAGCTCTCCGTAAATTGTGTTAAGCATTGCATAGGATCTCCAAATGATGTTCTGGATTTTTCTAAGTAGATTTGCATATGCTCCATTCAGTCATCGTTCAAGAGGAACTGATAATTTCCAAGTCTCTGATCTATAAAGTAGGACGGGTTCAATCAATTTTCGAAAGGTATGGACTTTTGAAAAGAAGGTAAGGTTCGAACGCCAAATCTTGTGAAGTTTGTTACACGCATCCCATTGTTATATCTTAGACTTGCTTATAAGAACAGTGCTTTTCTGTTGTATAAGGCCTGTGTGTTTTCTTATGTTTGTCTAGAGCTTCCTTCTGGCTAAACAAAACATATGTACTATTCATCTCTTTCTTTTTACCTATCACAAAACATGGTTTTTATGGTAGAATGTGCATTTTCATATCCATATTTTAGACAGGGGATAGCAATCTACCGTTCTATATTAATCCGATAGTTATCGGATGAAAATATAAACTACCATATTTTCTCATGTATAATACGATCCCGTGTTTCGGAAGATTCAATCATGAGTCTGAAACGACCCCGTAGCTCAGCCCTCCATATGTAATTTTGGGGGAAAGTCGTACCATATTATCCATTAATATCCTGTTGCACATATATTTCGCTAAAATATTTAATTTTCACGATATTAAAGAATAAAAATGAGGTAGATATTTAGCCACTGTGTGTATTTTCCGTTTCAAATGCTGTTACGATTTGTTTTCGAAAAGGTGCTAACTAAACATAAACCACAGTGAACTTTTAAGGGTTAATTAATCAATCATACTTTTCGGTTTGATTTGGGTTTATTATATTTCTATATATTAATAAAATATGAAAATTTAAAAAAAATAATATCTTAAGAATAAAGAGAAAACTTTATAGAAAAACAAGAAAATCTCCTGACAGATAAAGAGACATGAAGCAGAAGAAATGTGATTCTACAGAAGGATGATGAGAATACCGCGAACCAAACAACGAAGAAATGGAAACAAAATGGAGACGTGTACTTAACACCAGAAAGACTGTTGAAATTTCCAGGGTACATGATAAAGAAAGAAGGCTTGGAAAACATGATACCCACATGACCGATTAAAGGCAAGAGGAACAAATGAAAACAACGCATAACTTACCTAGAGAGCCGGTGTAAATGGATGGCAGAGCAGGATTTAGAACAGATAACGACACATAGATGAAGAAACCAAGATTTTTTTTTTATATTCTGCTAATTAGGACTTGTACTTTTTTTCTTTCCCATGCTATGATACTTCAGGGCGTGGTCTTTCATGGTTGTCCACAATATCTTGTCCCTTGTTAGCCTGAGTAATTTTTGACTCTTTATCATTATTCTTTGTCACGCCCAGATGACAGGGAATGTTCTTGCAACCTTGCAGATACGCCGTATTTTGGTTTGTGGTTAGGTGTTGTTATGACGACGTTATTGCAACATAGTTTTCTTCTACTTTCATGAACCCCATCTGACTACTATGTAACGTTACAGAAAAATTACAGCGATGTAATTATGTTAGCTGGGTATATAGTCTTGAGTACTGCTTTTGTTCGATGTGGTTTCTGGTTTCCATTAAGTATACGTACAATGCGGTCTAATGGTTAGAGTGAAGTGGATCTCGGTGTGTGGCACCGTTTGGGTAGTGCGTGAAACCCAGTGAGTGAAATTGGGCAGATGAATCTGTCCGGAAGTCATCGGTAATTGTGCTAATGAGTAGGACTTGACGGCAATCTACCTAGAGGTAGCGACTCGATTAAAATTGCCCAGCAACCGAGCCACAAGTTTGAATGTCAGTCTGGAAAATACATAATGACTGAAATTCTTTAGTCATGGAATTTGTGCAATATGCCTCAGGCGGAAGTAGCGCCATCTTTATTCTTTTTATGTCCAGTATAATGATAATCTCCTCCTCCTCCTTTTGTTCTTTTTTTTTCAAATATCTGCCTCCTCAGTTGTTAAATGACAACGAGTCTGATATAATATTCTTTAATGGAGAAATTAAAATGAAACGAAGATTGCTTGATAGGGTATACATATAAGGAAGGCCAAACAAGGCATCGATCGCAAAACAGAATGGGCGTTAATTCGAATACTAGATCCAATAATGTCAACATCTTAGATCTTCCGAAAACATGAAAGCTATCATCGAAATATCATCTGAAATTTAGCTCCATAAATTTTGTCTCTTATCCGGTTACCTTTATTTGGAAAATATAATTATTTTCTCTTAATTTTTATTTAAATAATTTTCATCAAAACATATTCCCTCTATTTGCGATTAATTTAATAAGCGCTTAAAGAAATGCTTGAATTTTTTTCTTCTATAATTTGTTTCTCAATACGTGAAGACATTTTTGGTGCCTTAAACAAGATAGAATTTACACACCGATAGAAATAATTGCATTCTGTAATATTTCTGTGGTTTTGATATGAAAAATATAAAATGGATTCTCTTTTTAAATTCATATATATATGTATTCATAATATAGATATATATATATATATATATATATATATATATATATATATATATTACCTTGGAGTAAGGATTAGCAAGTTTTATCGCGGACAAAAACATAATTGGACTATTATGTCTGTGGTTAATACAGAAATAATAATTTGGGGAAGGGGTTATATATTTATATACAATTTAGATTACATATTTATATGCAACAAATATTTGTTGTGAAATAAAATACGGAGGAAATACTTATTGATCGTTAAGATACTATTTGATATATCTACTTAGGTGAGGAATTCACGTCTCTTAATAATGTACTTATGACCAACGCGATATAAGCTGGTAGTTCCCTGAAGGTTTCAACTTAGAAACAGGAGGGGATTTCACTTTTACAGTGTATCTTTTATCCTGTAGTTTGAAACAGTGGAAAATGCTCTTTTGATGGTTTACTTGAATGATCTATCAATTGGGATGATGATAATTGTATTCATAATGTTCTGAGAATCAAACTGATTCATTATTGAAATAACAAAAAGAAACACTTCATTTTATTCTTAATCTGATATCCACAACCATGTTTCTCGTAGCTACTTGAATTCGTTATATCTTAATATTGATGAACAAAGACTTAGTTAAGCGGATTAAATTCCTGAATCTTTTATAGCTAAAGTGAATATCTCTCTTGAATTTTTATTGAATTTAATTCTCACTCTAGAAGCAGAAATATCGAAACAGAACTGTACTGTGGTAGGTGATTCACGCCAGAAAATATTGCTAAGAGATGATCTGTGGTGATTCCTATATGTACTGAATTCACCTTAAGAGATATCAAAGTATGTTTTGTATTCGGTACCACCTTAGAACAACAAAGGAACTGGGTGCCTCAAGGGTTGGTTAGAAAATAATCAAAGCCCCAAGTGGAGAATCAGGCCTCAAATGATGTTGACGTGAACTAATATAATCAGCAAGTGAACTCAGCTGAACTTAGGACACACACACACACACACACACGTGAATGACAGCAAGTAGGATAAACGCAGTCCCTCACATCCTCGCGAGAAGATCAAATGTATGTTCGAAGAAATACCCAAATCCACACACCACGCAGTTCGGCCGACGTTGATTTGACTTGGAACAGAAGTGGTTAAAGAATTATTTTATTTTTAATTATTTAAAGGTAGTTCGATATTCTTATCAGACGTTACTAATATAATTATATAATAATAAAATTACCATAGATCATTAAAGATTATTTTCGCTCGATTATTCTTACGCGGAACTTTTTTCTAATAAGTGATTATATTGAGTATTGCAGATTAAAATATACATGGTGAGGAAAATCTACTTGACAGTTTCAGCAGACTTCGATCTGACGGCATAGTTGTTCTAGAAGTAATTTCAATAATAATTTCTTGATTAATTATGTTTGCTACCAGGAGTTTAGAGTCGGTTGCTATATTTGAATTTATTTTCCTTGTCTTGCTATGTACGAAAGTGCAGGTACATTAAATTTAAATCTGTTGAATAATATAAACCAATTAACCTAAATTAGTGAGGGAATTTTTTTTTACAACGATGAAGAATGAAAGAAAAATAGTATAAAAGCAAAATGAAATAGATTTTAAAGTTATTGTTCTTAAAAGCAATAAAATCTTTTAAAAATCATTACGGCTTTGTGTAATTAGTGAAACAAAAATGAATAAAATTACAAACATTTCATCTTGAAATCTTTCTTCGAAATCTGCCTTAACTTCAAAATGAATTTTGTTTTTACAGAAATTTCTGGTAATTTTCTTAGGTTATTGTTTTCTTGTACTGCATAAGCAATCATCGTAGAGGAATCCATTTTATTGCGCTGTTCTTCCAAATGCTTGTTGAAGTATAAACAATAGCCTCTTGTCAAAGGTCATCGCCTGAACCGATTGTAATTTTTCCTCTTCTATATTCAAAGCCCAACTCATTAATTACGCTATGATTTAATTTTGTTTCCAATTATTTTTCCGTGTGTTATTTTTTCCGTTTGACTTCAATTAGTTTTGTATTTCCCAGACATTTATTTTACTTTTCTGTTTTTTTTTTCTCATAACTGACTTTTTTTAATTTGCCGCTGTTGCTCTTCCCTACTAATTCACATTTAGTATTACTAATGTTTTTTCTGCGTTTTCCCCAACCCCCTCATATCTGTCTGTCTGTTTTTTACCCTTCCCTCACGTATTCCTCCATCTTTGTCCCGCTCATGTATTTGCCACACCTTTCCTGGTTTCCTGCAGCTTTGTCCCCATTCCCTCATGTGTTTCCGCGGTTATGTCCCCACAGCCCCACCATGGCTTCCTGCGGTTTTTGACCCCCCCTCATATCTTTCTGTATATGTACCCCGCTTCATGTCTTTCTGCGTCTTTGACCCATCCCTCATGTCTTTTCCTCTCCTGTATTTCTCTGTCTTTGCACCCTCCTGCGTCATCTCTTTCTCTGTCTTTGCACTTCACCCCCTGTCAAGACTTTGCCCCAACGCCATGTCTTTGTGCCCACCTTCGACGTCTTTGTGCCCCCCCCCCACGTCGTGTCTTTGCGCATCCCCTCTTGTTGTCAGTTTCTCTTTCCTTACATCATGTCTACTTCCTTTTCTATTCTTTCATCTCCTACACCTTGCCTTCCGCTTGTTTTTCTATCTCTTTTTCATTATTTATTTTTAAGCATATTGTATTTTTTTTTTTCGTATTTGCTGTTATTAGACTTTTTTCTGATTTTTCTTCTTCGTGTCTCTTTTCTTCCACTTTTTCTTATTTAGAATGGATTTTTTTCTTATTTCTTCGCATTTTACCATTCGTCTTCAAAATTGTCAATTTCTTTGCATCGCTGTCTACACCATTTTCTTTCTTGATGCTTCATTTTCCTCCTACCGCCATCTTTTTTCCTGCTTGCATAAGTTTCTCTGATTCTCTGCACGTTCTTAATGTTTTATATTGCCGCCGCCTTTCTTTTTCATTTTGCTACATGATTTCTTCATTCTTAATCCTGATTAAAAAAATATAAAATTTCTAGAAAGAAACAACTGGCTAATTGCATTAAGTACGTGACGTGTACGAATGTATGCTCCTGCATATCAATATGCCATTGATATACGCTTACAACTATTGCGTCACTTCGGTAGAATCTGACTGTGGAAAATTATCCCTTAATAAGTTAAATATATGTCTTATTTTTCTCATTAAGAGTTATCAACTATTTTCCAAAACATTTCATTCAATCAAAACCCTGAATTAATTCTGGGAATTAATAATTTCTATCTTTTTCCTGCCAGCCAAATTCCCAAGGGCGATCAAACGTTTTCAGAATTTATTTTTTATGTGTATTAGATTATATTCCTTGCAGTTATTCGTAAGCCATAACCTTTAATATTAAATAGAATAATACATTTATATTTCCTATCTACAATATAAATGGAGTTTGTGTTTGCTTTTAACTCGGAAAATTTCAAAATTTGCGAAGCAGTAATCAAACATAGAGAAACGGTTAAGTACATTTTATTTTTCTAAATATTTTACCTTATTAATTTTTCTCAAAAATATTTTAAACACACGACTGCGAGTTATATTTTATTGAATTTTAAAATTTAGCTAAATTGCCGAAATGTCAATGCTGAATTTTATCATTTCAATTTAAAAATTCTAATGCTTTTCTTGCTTTTTCTTTTCCTCCTTGGAACTTTGAGCAAAATGACTACATATAAATGATACTATTTCCTGCTTGCTATCCAAAATCGTTAATATCATGTTGAATAAGTCTATTGCCAGGCATAAAATCGGAGTGAAATCTTGAGTAACGCATGAAATTAAGAACAATTTCCATGTTTCATGAAGGTAAAAAAATACATACATGTGTACTCTACTCAAAAGGGATTGATTTGTAATATCACAAAACTTAATTCTGGTATATATTAATGTACGTGTCATAGCGTGAGAAACCTCATTCGATAGCCATGCTTGAAACGCAGATAGTACGTCTGCTCATCAGGGCCAATACCTCAGATTGACATTCCGCCTATATCTCCCGCTTTCCATTTCCTTTCGCCTGTCATGACCTAACTACCTCACTGTGCGACCAAGTCATCTTACAAGTAAGACCTCATTTGAGATTTATTTCCCATGTGGTCGATTGATTTAGATCGTTGCGTGAACAAAATATTGTCTAATTCTACTTTCGGTAAAAAACTGCTATCTCTTGTTGTTTTTATTCATCTGTGTACGTCAGTTCCTTATATCACGAGTATAGTAATGATATCTTGGAATGGTGATATATATTTATCTCTACTAAACGTTCCAAAAGTCTGTTACCTTGTCTCTCGGATTAATCGCTAGTGTTTGATTCTATCTGGTTGTGGCCGAGAGCGAAAATAAAGGCTAAGGTTGGTTTCTATCTAAAATATTAAATAAAGTAATTGCAATCTCTTCAAAGATGGAGAGGAATTAAGGTGCGTTTTTCTCTTTCACGTGTCCGCTTACGAATTAGTAACTAAAAGTAAAACAAAGTGTAAATTGTGACCTTAGTGATGTGGCTACTCGCTGTCAGGCAGTGGTTTATGTGTTAGTCTTAACAAATATTGTTCTTTCCATGTTGGATGCGCATGGGAGCACTCCTCGAATTTGAGTTGGTTTAATTCAACCAAAATATTGTGTGGGTTTATGCTCACCAGTTAAACAACTATTTTTTTGCGCGATCATGTCTCACCACAACTTCCTATTCTTTGTACATCTAAGTAATGTTTCTCTCCTTACTATCCCTCCGATTTACCTACTGTTTCGCTTTACCTCACTTTCCTTCAGTCTATCACGTGAGTGTCATATCCTCAGAGTTCCCTTTCCTCATTATGTATCCTACCTAAGGAAATGTGTCCTTTTCGTTTCCATTTCCCTTAGAACTTCCTCGTTAGTCACATGTGACATCCATTTATTTTCACTATTCTTCAGCAGAACCACATATCTGTTGCTTTAGGTCTTCCCTTCATATGTAAAAAAAAGTTTCCCGCATTCACTGATATGTAGTAAAATTGATATCAGATAAGATTTGGACATTCTTACCGTTGTCTCTAAGGAAAAATTATTTTTTTATTAATATGGTGGAGGATATCTTCCACAATTCCAGTTCGCTTTCTGATTTGTATCACATATTTCAGGGTCTGTTATAAAATTCTAAGATTCTTTTACTTTCTATATTTGCTTTATTTTGACGTATTTCTATCTTCCGGTTTACATTCATTTCCGGTTTTTTGACGAGGAGTAGATGTTTATCCCTTTTTTTCCTCTTTACGATTGGGTTTCCGTTTGCTTCTAAACTCTTTCCTTCTTAGTAGCCACTAGCGTCTCATTGGCATTATAGAAAATATTCAATTAGTTCGCGTTTTGGGCCGTCCATATTACTCAAGACTACACCTTCTTTGTTCTTACAATTTAAGGTTAATCACTTTTTTTTGTTGCATTCCTTGTCTATAAATACTCGCAGCTTTATTTCTTCTTCTACCATTAATACTGTACCAAAACTTATTCCATTGACTATCAGGAAGTTCCATTCTTTCAAAGAACCGTTACGTTGTGGAACAGATTCCCAAGAGGATGCTTCTCCGATCACAACGATTTTAACCACTTCAAGTCTATGGTCAACCGTTATCTATTCTACTTAACCTCATAATCTACACTTATTACTTCTCTATAACAACCTCATTCCGTAACCCTCTACCTCGAGTGGCTCTTGATCTTGTATTTAGTAAACGAAATTATAAAATTATGTTAAGCTTTATCCTACCAATAAAAATCCCTGGTAAGACTTAGATTTGTCTTTTGATCACCTTGCTGTATTGGTTAAATAAATCCGGTTGAAGACACCATTTTCTTAGTTACTTTGCCTTTTTGTGTACTTGTTAAATTCATTTTCTTTCCGTGTGCAGGTGCACTAATTACCTAACCAAATTTCCGAGCATAAATTGAAAGAGGCTACCTGCATTAACCTATAAAAAAAAACTGTTGAAAATTTGTCTTTACAACTCGTATGCTAACTATTGCCCTCCAACGATAAATCCTTTTTTATCACTTGAAAATTTTCACATTTTTTAATATAGTTAAATTTCGTGCTGAAACTCATTTGAACTTAAAAACTTTTTGGTAAACTATCGCCTCTAATTTATCTCAGTATCAGCTGCAGCTACCGTTCTTCTTGAAGATAGGTCATGATATTTTTTTTTTATTTTTACATTCTAAACGAAAGATAAGAAAATTGTATTACGCTATCATCCAAGAGAGAAGTACTTTCTTTGCTTTTACTTGGCTACAGTCAAAAGCCACTAGTACAGGTGGAAAATAAATCTATCAGCTAAGAGTTGGGTTCGAAATAGTTTTATTATCTTTCATTTAACGGAATTGCCTTCTGCCGTTTCAATTAGAATCTATGCGATAGGTTCTTGTACAAGAGTGAATCATTATATCCGTAAAGTAACACCGAGTTAACTATATTATATCTCAAATTTTCACTGTGTGATACTTCGATCTGTGTTAGAGTTTACCAATATATTAAATGCATTGGCAAAGGAGAAGATTATAGTGGAAAATAATTGTTGTATTAAACTTTTTTTCTTTTCTTTGATAACAGTGTAATAACGTGGTGTGGCAGGATAACACGAAACTTGCTTCTGCATTACCAACAGATTCACTTAATATTTCATTAATATTCTCTCGGTCAGTTTGTTTTTTGAGCCCCACTGTCAACCCATAGTCCGACACACGAACAGTGGCGGACTGGCCAGAGTGCAAGCTTGTCCGATAGCAAGTGATCCCCCTGATGGAATGGGTCACCTATATAAAAATGGAATGGAGACAAATACAGACAAATGTTTTAGTAATAAAAAGGAATAAGAACTTTATAATGTTATCTGTACACTATAAATTATTCAAGTCAGGACATATTCAAGATCGTAAATGGGAAGAAGTTGGCTGTCTGAAGAGAATTTTGAAACATACATGTTGCTATCCATTGAAAAGGAATTGTTAGATGAATTTAATGCAGATGCAATTATTGTCAGATTCGCACAATCATCTAATGAACACAAACGATTGCTCTTAATATAGTGGACCGTGTTCAATGCTCTAATGTGCTTTTGAAATTTCTGTTAATATGCAAATCATATCAGCCAATTACTTAAAATTAAAAAAAACATCAGAAATTCAATTATAATATTCTAAATGTACTGCTAATAGAAAATGGAAACAAAAAGAAGCTAATCTTTAACCGGAAGAGACAGTTGACATTTCTGGGGCACATAATGAGGAAGGAGGGCTTGGAAAGTTTGATACTCACACGACAGATAGAAAGCTAGAGAGACACGAAACCAACGTATAACATATCTGTCTCTATCTCTGGAAAGAGATGTTATGATTACTTGTATTATTTACATTACTCAAAGATACAGTGGCCCCAGACGTTGGTGAAATTCAGTGAGAAGATCCAAAGAGTTGTGAGTTCAATACCAGGCCACAGCAGTGGTGAACCAAAAAAACTTGGAGAGTTAAAGGGAAATAACTAAGACATCCGGAAGAGGCATGACACGTGGAACTAGAACAATCTACCCCGATAGAAGAAATAAAGGGTTCGGCTCGAAATTCCAATCACCTGAAGAATGCGTCGAACGGCTGAAACGTTGTGAATATGGCAACGAAGATGACGAAAACAGTCCGAGTAATGTAAATAATGCAAGTAATCAAAATACCCCATCTCAGAGATATATACAAGATAATTTAGATGTTTGGTAATCTAGTTAAGATTGGGTATGCACCAACCTTTCGTAAAATACCAAGTAAGAAACTTTTTATTAATGACTTGCAAGATTGGCATAAGAGCTTTTGTATTACTACAGGTGATCTGAGTATAGGCTTAATCAGAATGACATTTACAAAAGATTTCTTTTTTATTCTCTTGATGCACTCACTTGGTTTTCCTATTTGTTATTTCGATGCCTAGACGCAATAAATAGCGTTTAATCAAATATC